TTATTTACTTCAATCAATTGGAAAGGCAAGAATTTTGGTTAATTCGTATATTTCACAAAAGTCTTTCTCACTTCATAATTATCTTAAGCTAAAAACAAATATTATTTTATAAAATTCAAACAATTGTTTATTTATTTTTCCGTTTCGTTTAAGTTCATTGATTAGATCTATCAGTAGATCTATACAAATAGCATAGCTTTTACTTTGACTGTAAATAATTATTTTCATTTATGAAATTTTGAACTTTTAAAATTTATTTTTTCAACCAAAATTTAATTAATAAAATTTTATAAAAATAGAAAAATAATATTTTTTCAAAATCGATTTTGAAATTCAGTTTCCTATACAATAAAACAAAATTATCATTAATGTGGATATAATATGCAAAATCATTTAATTTAGTTAATTAAGAAAATTAAAATTTTATTTTGAAAAATCGATTTAAACATTTTTGAAATAAAGGTAAGTTTTATTTCCATAATTCTTTTGAAAATATTTATATATATAATATATATACAGATACAAAATTTTAAATCTTAAATACTATTTCCATTATCTTATTTCCTTTATAGCTTATCCTATTTAATAAAAAATAATTACAATTATTATTTTTTTATTACCAAGTTATTATTATAATATCATGAATGCGTAAATATTGTCGTTCTATTAAAATGTATAGCCAATTCATCGATACTAGTCTATTTTAAATAGCATATAAGCATATTGATGCAATGAGCAAGCCAAATTTTTTTATTGGTATTTTCATAAATAAATAATGTTAATATGTCATACATAACTTTACCAATAGTTGTCTTAATTACATTTCAAACGAAAAGCTTCACAACATTTGTTTACTTAATACAATCAAGAAATAATAAATATTATATTATAATATAATGATATATAATATATCTAAAAGTTGATATATGCGTTGTGCTTAAAACCCACCACATAAAAACACGTTTTAATGGAAACGGGAAGAAAGTCTCGGATCAGCATAACGCATGCAGTTGATGACCACAACATATGTATTGGACTTTGCGGAAGCAGCAACTCGGAAACAGTTAATGACGGCATACTTCTATAAATTTAAGTAGACAAGTAAGTAATTATGTATGTAATATTGCCAAATTACTTTTTTATTATCTATAGCTTATATTATGTATAATGACCCTCGCGCTGACTAGGTTTAATCTATTCAAATTCTTATGTAGAAATGTTAATCGGCTTTAAGTCACAGTCCAATGTGCTTAAGATTATTGTTTTTTTTTATTAGATATGATCACAATGGGCTCAATATTTCGAGCCAAAGTGAGGTTTTATTTCTGCAAGACTTGTTGTCCCTTTCACCCTATATTAGGTGTTCAATACTACTATAAAGAGCTTGAATCTATTTACAAATACATAATTGTTTTTAAAAAAAACTTTTACAAGTCGGTTCCAACTTAAAGATTTTCGAAACATCTGCAACAATGGAAAACGTCCGACACAACTTGAAACCAATTAGGTTTTAGGTAGATTATACTGAATTAGTTTTTAGACCATTAGTTTTAGTACATTTACTTAACCGCATCGAAGGCCTTCCCGACACCTCTGAATGCAGTTTTTGTTATAAGGTATGAGGTATTAAGTTATGAGGCGTTGTTTTCTAATCCGCATTGAAACCTTAGTATTATCTATATATTGAGTATAAATTGACATTGTATACCAGCCATAAACTAGTTATAGAAGGTACTAACTTCATAGAGATATAGAAAGTAGTAAAAAGAGTTATAAAAATAACTAAATTAAGTAGAGGTATTAGTTTGTAGGAACGTGTATGATTAGGGATGATAGAAACTCTAAATGACTTTGTTTGGTAGCTAAGGAGAAGTGAAATAGTGTGCGAACTGAATTTATTAGAGATATAGCGCTCTTGCTCTGGGGATTATTTTTATTGTTTAGACAGATAACACTTTTTATAAGTTTTCTGATTTTAGCGCTCTAATTTTTATGCTGTTTGATCAACACTAATAATCTAATTTTTACATAACTTCTTTATTATCGGGTTTCGACCTAACGTAGCACTACTGTTCTATCTCTGACACGTTCTATCTCTATCTCATCACTCTCGCACATTAAGGAAGGGAGTGCAGTTAGCTCAATCACTCCATCAGAGATAGAGTCCACTTCTACCTCTTCTTACTTCAAGTGTCACTTAAAACGATTTTTACGCTAGAGTATTGTCATCCTGGTTCACGACATGATCCATCTAGCATTCCCGCTATCTGATTAATAACTATAATTATAATTATATATTAATTCGCTAAATTCTATTAATGTCGTGATAAAGCTCGTACATGGTTTATTCGGATGCAGTACTCGTCGCCAATTTGCTGAGGACTACACGTTTTACGAAGAACTTTTCTCTCGAAAACTCCCAGTGCATCATGCATCATACTGTGATAGCAACTGAGCATCTGATGATCACGCACTAAACGCTGTTATCTGTTTTGGTAACTTTACTTATTGTTGTTTGATAAAAACCTTACTAATGGATGTCTTAATTATTGCAAATATTGATCAATGTGATATGTATGAATAAATAAACGAAGAGTGGTTTTGAATTAAACATGCTATAAAATTAATTTACGAGATATTAAAAAACATATCTCAAAACGTCTTAATATTTAAATGCAATTTTTTTGAACTTTAAGTTCATGAACATTATGTTGAGGTAGGAACCTGATTCACTCACTTAGAGTTCATAAATCCTTTGTAATACCATTGATAAAATAGAATCTGAACTGTTTTACATAGGGAATCATTTTCAACATGACGCTTATAAGGCACAGTATTTGCTTAATTTTAACGCTGAATCTTTTCGTATAAATTGAGAGCAAATATATATATATATATGTCAACTTAATATATAGAAAATTAAATCGTAAAAAAACCGTGACATAAATTTTTAAAAATTGCCAAATAAAGTCAACTTGATTTATTTTAAAAAAATTTTATTATGAATTTTAAGTTGTTTTCACCGTGAAGAAAATCAGTCATAATTAACATATCATTCAAAATGTAGCAAAGCACTTTGAAGAAAAATATCTGAAATTGATTACATTAATTTTTGGAAAGATTTTACATTGCTGCCAACGAAAATATTGCGAAGGCTTCCTTTCCACACTTAATCATCACAGTGTGTTTGCTTAACATTGGCATATGCATATGCATTGATCACCAGGTCAAAATCTTTCGCGACTTGAGTAGGTTTTTTAAAAAGAATCTTTTTTTATTTAAAAAAAAAATCGTTTTGTGTTCTTTTTGAAATTTAAATTTCGACAACTGCGACAAGAAAAGAATAATTTTTTTTTATGTTTTTAGGCAATGCAGAGGAGTGTGTGGGATTTTTTAAAAAACAAATTTTTTTCACTAATGTTCTTTAATAATCACATACAAAAACTGAAATAAATGAATATTTATTTATAACAGAAAT